TGCTCTTGCATGGGCTTTGCAATATTCATTATTTTGAGTGTTAGTATGAGAAGACCTTATGCTAAAACATCAGGTCTATTGAATGGCGAATTATTATGTTCGATCACTAGAGGTCCGGACATCCAATTCAGATGTACCACGTCAACCAAATACATCAGGGCCCGATGTTTTGGTGACGTGACGCACCTGGATTGATGTCCGAACGAATCCGAACACCAGATGTAATAATTTGCCCTATTGAATAGCATTAGGAGCCTAAGAAATGTACTATTCTAATATAAAAATAACTTCACTTATATGAAAATATTATAAAATGATTCAAATTTAATTTGCTATAGTTTTTTTTTACTGGTTTTTATAATAATTTTTTGTACAATATTTTTAAAAGTGTGAAAAATAGTGATAAAAAATTGTTTCGAATAAAATCTCAATCCGGCTCTATTCTCAATTCACCAAAACCTCAAATCTGAATCAATCCAAATTTATTGGTTTATGAGCTAAAACCAATTTGAATCAAAATAATAGGTTTTTTTTTCAACTTAGTTTATTTTTTATGTTTAAGCAAATTCTTTGCCTGCCTTCATATATATCACTCAAATTTTAATTATTTTTAAATTTAACACTAAGGGCGTTTGTTTTGATATGAGTGGTATAAATGAAATATTAAATAATAATAAAAGATTATACTGAAAGTGAAAGATAAGGACTTCTATTTTTTGGTACGCTCTTCGGTATTTAGTTTTTTATTATAAATTGCCAATAGAAATGATTGAACGTGCAAAATTTAGATCTTACACAAAATTTCCTCAAAAACAGAATCAATACTCCCTTACAGACTTCTCTGCCACCATTACATTGCAGTCTTCACCAACACTGAAGGGCACAAAAAATCTCCTAAATGTTCAGTCACCCATGGAGCAGTTATAATATAGAAGAGAGCATCAGATTCTTTAATGAAATAAGAATCTATCCCCATCGCTCAATCTGCAGATAGCCTCAACTTTACGCAGACCACACAAACAAAGCATCCTATTCTGCAATGGGGAATAAAGATGTTTGACATTAACAAAAAGCACATTATAACGTTTGATATTGTAATTAGTATTCGAATGACCAGAAATTATTTTGTGCGGACGTCGAACGCAGTTCATCGTCCGGAGAACCACCAGAATGCGTCACGTCAGTAGTGCCGAGCACGTTACCGAGCAAGGGTGACGTGGCACTTTCTGATTGGTCTCTGGACGGCATTGGACGTCCGCACATAATAATTTGCCTAGAATGACACTCACCAATGTTAACTATTAGCAGACCATTTTGTTAGGCTAAGCTAACAGAAAAATCTCTCCCTTAAAAGAGTATTTTATTCTTGTATTTAATGTCCTGTATCACCTATTCAATAATTTTATAAATTCCGTTTTAGTTGTCTTATCAATACTACAGAGTTAAGTAATCAAAATAGAAGATACATATGTTCTGCTATATAATGAGGAGCAAATAACCAAGTCTGAAACACACCTCAAGCATCAAATAATCTATCTACCCATCAAAATGTCTTTCAAATTCCACAGAGAAAACAAGCAAGTTGTCAAATTTGTGGAGGGGAACAAAGACTCTGCTGTTCGCCGTAGTAATCCATCTGAAAAAGAAAGCATGAAGAACCAACATGAAGGTCCCTTCTTTCCTAACCTCCAATTGATGTTCAAGAACAAGCAGCAAGAGCCTTCTGATATCTCTGAGGAGAAGATTAGCTCCAAAACAAGCAGCAACACTATAGCTCGTGAGGAAGAAGACATAAACATGGAGGCTAACGAGTTCATCAAGCGTAAACACCATAACCTCTATCTCCAGAAGCTTATGTCAATGGCTGCTTCTGCACAGCCTAGCTAGATAACATATCATGAAAATTAGGTCACCGTGCTGCTTTTGTATTTATATAACAAGAAGTTGAACTTTCTTATAGTTTATGTATGAATAATCAGCACGCATGACTATCTTCCCAAGGGAAAACTGGTTATAGAAGTTTATAGTTAAATGTTTCTTTGATGTGATTTTCTTGTTGGTTATGGCTTCTCTGCAAGCAGATTTCACTTGTTTGGAGTTCATATTTTCGCGGTCGGAGGTTGAAGCTCTGTGGTGATCTGTAGCTTCTGTTGAGAAAAAAAAAAAAAAAAAAAAACTCTTTGAAGAATTATCACAAAAGATATAGATGTTTGCGGCTTGAAGATTAATCCTATTTCATCGATGGTAATATTGAGTCAACAAAAGACAAGTCATTTATAATAAAAGTGATCAACTTTAAAATGATTTTCTGTTGATGTTAGAGATCTCATGAATTTTTTCAAGACTCAAGTAAGCTCTAGGCCACCACATCGCATCAAGTTGTCCCGCCTGATTCAAATTTTATTGGTTTTTTCCATTGTTTACCTTACCATCCTCCAACGCATGGCTTCCTATCTGGCAGATTGGAGACAGAAAGCGGAGCACCGCGGCGCTGCGATCCGAGTTGGGCAGTTTTCCTTCATATTTTTCATGTTTATCTTGAAAGTTTACGTCTTTGGGTGGTTTTATGCGAGCCTCTTTGGCCATTCTATGTAGAACTGGGCAAAAGTGCAGAGAGACAAGGAGAGAGTGATCGAGAGAGAAGATATTTTTACAATTTCTCTCATTTTCATAGTGAATTTCTTGGTGTAGTATGACTCCTTAATTTTTTCCCGGCTTCGGGATTTTTCACGTTAAGTCCTGACATTTTTTTCTTTTTTGCTGCTTTTTCTCTTTCTTGCTTGTGTTTGTTCCATGATTTACTTCCCCAACAAATTTGAATTGTACAAGTCACCTCTCTGAAAGGTTGATACCTTACTTTCAATCCTAGAAACTAAAGTGATGACTGACATTCCTCTTCAACAAGTTCTTCATAAGTCAAAGCTCTCAAAATGCCTAATGAAATGGTTTATCAAGCTCAATGAGATCGATATCGAGTGTATTCGTTGCAGTGCAATCAAGGCTCAACCACCCAATGGATTTGTCATCAACCTACTAATGTCACAAGAGAATATGTGAGGAACTAAATACAAAAATTGAAGAATAAGGCATTGGGACAATGCACATAAATAGAACATCTGGCAGAATTAACAATAGAGTTAAGTGTGAACCTCTGAGGTCCACATGGTTTAGTATCTTTTATCATTGACAAAAAATTGTGTTCAAGGCTGCAAACAATCAAATGAAGTGTGAATCATAAATCATAATTGTAAAACTTAGCCTTGCTACTAGAGTCAAGGTAAGAAGTTTACAGGTCTTCAGAGACTCTCAAAACATTAGGAAAACATGTACTTGAGAACGATGGAGTTCCTGATACAATCCTTAAGAACAACATCAGGACGGTGTAAGCAAAAATTGTCTAGCTCATGAAGCTCAACATCTCCCACTTAATGAGAGAAGAGAACACAGTTATTGATCTGCTAGCAAAATATGGAAGTCCATACGCCACCTCTACTAAAAAACTACACAAGTAATTCATTGAAGAATGGAACAAGAAAATCTTAATGAACCAAGTGCACAATTGGTTCACTCCCAACTAGAACTATTGCTTATTAGAAACTCTCTCGGGAGGTAAGCATAAAACAACATTTCTAAGGTTGAAATCAATAAGGTACTTCATTTTCAAGGGATACCATCTTAGAAAATCCTACTCGGAGATTAACTATAGGTTCCATGGATGTTAAAGAGTCAAAAATCAAAGAAGAAATTCATTAAACTGCAAAAATCATTTTGCTTCAAAGAATCTTGTTAAGGAAAATCATAAAATAAGGATATCCTTAGCCGAAAATCAAATCAAACACAGTACTTTTATTGGGAGGTTGGTTAACTATACAGTAAACACAGAACTTTTTTTACTGTTAAAAAAAAAAAATTTAGTACCAAAGCTATTATTGTGAGTAAAAAGCTACTATTGGAAACAAGATATTAGTACAGGTGTCGAGATTGTCTAAAGAACAAAACTAATGTTTCGTTTGGGACAGCTTTTTTATTGCTTCTTAAAACAGCTTTTTAATTTTAAAATTAAAATTTGCATACTAGAAAGCTGCTTTAAGAAGCAGTAAGAAAGCTGTCCCAAACGAAGCTTAAGTATCTATTGCTAAAACACTGCTAAACTAACCTCCCTAATCCAAGTTCACTTTGGCAACCTCTAATAGAGGTTGTAAGACCTACCATATGGGTTATTTCTAATAAAAGCAGTAAGACCCACGCGTTAGGGAAAAATCTTTTGGTAAAAGTAACGTAACCCTAAATCTCAACTACCGACTACTTTCAAGTGAAGCAATAAGACTTGCATGTTAGGGGAACTTCTAAGTGAACAACTATAAACTTAAGCCTACGGGCTACTTCTAATAGAAACAATAAGACCCATTTTTTGAACAAACCTACATGCTACTTTCAATGAAAATAGTAAACCCAACTTCTCAAACCCACGGGCTACTTTTAATGAAATAATAAGATCCCTATTTCAAAACTAAACCTACGTGCTACTTCCAAGGGAAGCCATAAAGATCAGCTATCGAGTCACTTTCAATACAAGCGATAAACCCTGACTCAAATCTAAACTACGAGCAACTCCCAAGCGGAGCAGCAAGTCCCAACCTAAACCAAATCAACGTGCATCCAACAACTTCAGTTTACTCGGGATACCTGAGAGGAGGCAACCTATAACTACTAATCATATTCTTTATACACTAAGATTAATTATTGTTAGTGTTTATTTAATTTATCCTCAAATTTATTTTTATCATAATATGCAAAATGTATCATATAGTGATTTATAAATTTAAGAAAAATGTCAAAATTATTCTTGTACTTGTATGGGGCCCCATAGTTAAATAACTAATTAAATATTGTGTTAATTTTAGTTTTTAAATTTTCAAATCTGATATAAAATAATTTATTAAATGAATTATTTTAATTCATATTTCCTTTTTAATTTTCAGGTCTTCCACTGTCTTCCTATATCTTCTTGACGGGGACCGGTCCCGCGGACCGCCAATTCCTGCTTTGAGTTCAAATCGAGGCGCGGGATCCTAATAATCTGATATTTATCCCTCCAGCTAGGGTTTTTGTTCTCTTTACCTTATGCAGTCCTGTTAACCACAATCCATCTCCTCATTTAATTTTAATATACCACATTCGTGTAAGAGGATCAGAATGAGCTCTCCTATGGAGGTCAGCGTGCATAACGCCACCGAGAACGTATCTGAAGAGGTATCTGAAGTGGCGAATGCCTCAAATTCGGAGCCAGTCAGTTTTGTCACTGCTAGTTCACTTGCGCCGGAAGAGGACAAGGTTCTCGTTTCAGGTTAAGCGATTTCCTACCCCTTTATCCTTCCCTATTATTTCCCTCTCTCCTTTCATCCTACTTCATTTGGTTGCTCTTTTGTTGCAGTTGAGGTTTGCATGAAGTCGCTAAGTACGGCTAGATCTGAAGATGTACGCAAAGCCGTGGAAAGGTTCCTCTCTCTCTCTCTCTTCCTTCCTCTCTCCCTTCTCTACTAGTTGACCGAAAATTTGGTTTAAGTACGGGGAAACCCTAATTTTGGGTAATGCTTACACCTATGATGCACAGACATGGACACGGCGACACGGATACGACACGGACATAAGACACGTCAGTTATTGAAAATATAGGACATATATATGGGTTAGACACGGTATTATAATTTTTATATTTAAAAAATAGTGTATAAAAATTAAATAAGTATTGTTGCGTCCTGGAATATTCGCGGCGGTAGAGAAATATATAGTTTAACGTCTTAGCGTTGTACAAATCGGAGTTGGGGTGCTTTCGGAATTAATTTTTGAAGTTTCCAACTAGCTTTCGCCTCGAGATTCGTGCCCGATCAAGCTAATTTTGTGATGCCGTATCAAGTATAATTTTAAAAATAATTTGAAAATAATAACTCATTTAACTAGAATTTGTGCTTAAAATGATTAATATTAGGATGTTAAGAGTTAGGCGTCGATGCTGTTTATTTGTCACCGAGAGAGGAGATGAAAATACATTCACTGTAAAAAAGAAATGAAAATAAGAATATTCGATGATTAGGTATTAAGTGTGGACATTGATTTGGTGTTGTGGATAGGAAATAAGAAAAAATCCCGTCAAATACAAGAAATTATATTTAAAAAATTAATAAAATATTTAAGATACGCGTGTCATCGGACACTCGTGTCCAATTTGTATTTAATATTTTTTTAATCAAACACATTTTTGACGTGTCCGACACATGTTAGAGGAGTGTTGGACGAGTGTCGTGTCGGATACGGTGTCGGACACTTCACGTCTCTTTGAGGAAAAATGTCGGTACATCATAGGCTTAGACCTTTGGAAGAGATTATCCGATTATGGTGTTCCTGAGAAAAATTTATGGGATGAAAGGTTTTCTAGTCTTTGCTATGTACCAAGATCTCACTCAATTGCATGAAGATGCCACCAGAGTCTCCAACTCTTGAACCTTGTTTAACTGTGATACGAGGCACTAATGACCCACTGAAGTCTCAAACCGTACGAACCACCTGATCAAAACTGAATCATTAGATATGATTGGGTATCACGGTTGGACCTAATCACTATTGGTCAAACCTATTTGAAACCTTAAATCTTAAGTCTATGGTGAGAGTATCATGGAGAGAGTTTATGAAGAGTTTGACTCAATAAATTTGCTAGGTTAAACATAATTTAAAACAGCTTATCTAAGTATAATTTCAAATTTTCTTTTATTTTTGGATCAGAGTAAATAGAAATGTTTGTTACAAAGTTTATTATTTTTGATCTCTAAGTTAAAATTTAAACCTAATTATGATTTGATTTAACCTTCTTAAAGTCTTATAAATAAGAAACGAGATGAATGGATGTTGGGCTATGGGATTTGGATGCTTGGCTTGCTAAACCGTAAAAAGGAGCTGGCTGGAGTTGAAAAAAAAGGGAAAGGTGGCAGTTAGTTTGGCTTCTCTTATGGAATTGAAATGGTAGCTTCAATTTCAAATGAGAATGGAAGCACAATAGGTAAAACTAATATAACTAGATTAGTTCAGTGTTCAGGTATTTCATTCTAGTTCATTAATAATAGAACTTAGGATGTATAATTCTTTTGTTAATTTTTTTTAAGGCATGCTTTGCACACATGATTATCTTCTATTGTCGGGTCTAGGATGTTGATCTTTTTTGTATTGCTTTTTGATGGAAGATTGTCTGTTTCTAAATTTGAACAAGTGACCTCTAATAGCAATGCGCGCAACCTAACAGTTGCACCTAGATCTTCCGCTCCATTTTATTGTTTTTAATTAAACAGGATCATAATGAACCTAATAAGAACTGTGCAAACGAGTTGTTTGTCTCATTATTACTTTTATTCACTATTTTTTGTGTTCAGAGATGAATATAGAACTTCAGAAATATAAGAAAAATGGCAGGTTCTGGGATAAGATGGTTGTACTTATTTGGCTTTAAGTTATTAATATCTAGAAGTTTGTTGTTAAATGAGGCAAATTGAAATTTGAAAGTTGATCTAAATTTATCGTGGGAGAAAATGATTGATTAAAAAAAGTTTTTAAAGAAAGAAGCTTCTTTGTAGTAATGGTATAACTCAAATGTTATTGTAGCTTATTGTAAAATTAATGAATTGATAAGAAAATAATAAACAGAAGTAACGTATTTTTTCAATGATTTATTTCATTGTTTGGGTTCTAAGTAGCTAAGTAGAATGAAAGCAGATTAATAGATTTTGATCGATTTAGGTGTTTTAAGAGTAAAGATGCATGTTTTGTTTTATTTAAATGTGAAAATAGTATGGAATGGAAGAAATATTATTTTGAAAACTTTATGAAAGTTATACGAAGAATGTTTCTATAGTAAGATATATTAATAAAAAAGAGTAAAGTTAATTTGGTACCCAAGTTGTGTAACGCAAAACTTAAAGCCTAATTGATATACTTATCAAGATTGAGTTATGTGAGATATTTGAGTAATATGATTATGATATGAAGTACTTGAGTTCGCAAGTAACCTCAAGGGTAATACTTGAGTTCACAAGCAAACCTAGAAAGATTGGGTGGACAGCATTAAAAATAACTGTTGTTTACAGCAGTCAAACACCAGTTGACAGCAAATTTTCTTAGGAAAACATGGAAAAACTTAGAGAAACAATGGGGAAATCCACTAATAGATGAAAGAAAACAACAATGATACATATTTCTTCAATTCGAGAGGAAGAAATAGCTCTTCAAATCTCTAGCCAATCTTAGAGCCCAAGAACACAAACCCTAGATCTCAAATTACTTTTCAATTCCAAATGAAACCCTCATTCTTTCTCTAGCACCTAATTAAAGCAAAAGGAGACATACAAAATCCCTAAACAACCCCCCTAATTTAAATTTCCCTCATAAACATTCATTACATTAATTGCTTAGGCCCACAGTCCTCCTAATTCAAATTTCCCTCATAAACACTCATTACATTAATTGCTTGGGCCCACTAGGCAAACCGCCCCCTTCTCCTTTGGTTCCACCCTCCCCCTAGGCTAGCGGCAGTACACCTGAACTGGTCCAGGTTGGACCAGTTCAGCCGGCCTAACATTACTCTCCTCCCAAAGACTCACCTTGTCCTTATGGTGAAAAGAAGGAAACTGGAGCATCACTCTCTCATATGGCTTCCAAGTGGCATCGAAATCGGGAAGGTTCTTCCATATGATCAACACTTCTCTGTTTACCTTTTTGTCCAATTGGACTCCCCTCAACTCTAGTGGTTCTAGAATCACTTCCAAGTCCTCTATCAGTGTGATTGGCAACTCTGCACAAACTGTATGCTCCCCTAGTGCTCTTCTCAACTGTGATACATGGATAATTGGATGTATGGTGGCGGATGGGGTAACTTTAAACGACACACCACCACTTCGATCTTATCCAAAATCTCATAGGGGCCAAAGTACCTTGGAGCCAATTTCTCATTTCCCTTGTTGGCGATGATCTCTTCCTGTAGGGCCTTAGTTTCAAGAATACTTTTGTCCCACACCTCAAATTGTATGTCCCTCCTATGTCTATCTGCCTGCTTCTTCATGATTTGTTGTGGCCTGGATAGGTGTTTCTTTAATTCCTCCAACACCTTGTCCTTTTCCTCTAGGTACTGCTCAATTGAATAAACAGGAGTGTTCCCTCTCCCAAAATGAACCAAGTATGGGGGTCTCTTTCATACAGTATTTTAAAAGAGGTCATCTGAGATGCAGAATGGTACGAAGTATTATACCAATGCTCAACCCATGCTAACCATTTAGCCCACAGTCGTGGCTTTTCAGAAACAAAAACACTTCAAATAAGTCTTTAAGCTTCGGTTCTGATCGTTCGTCTGTGGATGATAGGTGGTGCCTCTCTTAAGAACAATGCCTTGCAATTTGAACAGCTCCTTCCAAAACTAACTGAAGAAAACTTTTTCTTAATCAGACACAATCAACTCACGAATCTCATGCAGTGGAACCACCTCCCTGATGAATGCTTCTGCCACTGTCACTGTGGTATAGAGATGTCGTAAGGGGATGAAATGTGCATACTTATTAAGTTTATCCACCACCACCATGATGATTGTGAATGCTTTTGATCGTGGTAGGTCGTCTATGAAGTCCATGGACACTTCCTCCCATATTCTGTTTGGATGTGCCAAGGGTTGTAGTTGTCCCCCTGGAGCCATTGTCAAGTATTTGTTTCTCTGGCACACTTCGCACCTCGCCACCATCTCCTCAACATCTTTATACATTCCTTTATAGTAAAGCTCAGATGCCAGCCTTCTATAGGTCTTATGTACTTCTGAATGTCCTCCCACTACACTGCCGTGGAACTCTTGTAGCAAGTAAGGAATATATATGGACATTTGTGGCATCACAAACCTCCCTTGATACAACAGCCTCCCTCCCTTCATCCCGATTTGATGGTAGCCCGACTTCAAGTCAATCTTAGAAAACACTACGGCTCAATGCAACTCATTTAATAACTCATCAATCACCGGAATAGAGAATTTATTTATTACCGTCTCCTTGTTCAGCACCTTGTAACCCACGCAAAACCTCCAGCTTCCATCATTCTTTTTGACAAGTAAGACTGGACTAGAGAAATGACTCACACTCGGTCTGACGATCCCTGCTTCCAACATCTCCCTAATCAGTTTCTTAATCTCATCTTTCTGAATTTGGGGGTAGCGGTAAGGCCGAATACTAATTGGTGACACTCCATCCTTCAAAAGGATTGCATGCTCCTGCGCTCTGGGTGGTGGTAAGCCCTGAGGTGGCTGGAACACCTCACTGCAATGCTGTATGAGGGGTTGCACAGCCATGGGAATGTCTCCCTCTTCCCTCACACTGACCCTCTCCAAGCATTGCAGCTCTACCAAATACTCACCTCCCACCTTCTGTATGGATATGATCATGGATTTGAGAGATACTTCTGTCTTGGACAGCCCTGCGTC